GCTATCTTATAATTCAAACACATTTTTCCCCTTGTCCACAGAGATAAAACATGAGAGACTGAGTCAAATGTCTATATTTGGGACATCTCTGACAAAACAACATCACAGAAAGCTAAATTACATACCCAAAATTAATTGGAAGGTAGTTTGTGTAAATTTTAATTAGTCCCCTAGTATCTAGAGATTCCTGCTTTCTTTTCAGAGGTATATGATCAGTATTTTTATCATTTTGAACTAATTATTTTTATTTTTCTAATAACTTTATAATATCATGTTTAAAAGTATTTTCCCATAACTTTACATGGACCAACAGACATCAGGGTCTTTTACGGATCTCCAAGAAAAGCATCATTTAGTATGCTCTGATTAAAAATGGCTTTTAAGTAGCTAAACCTGTGGATTCAAATGAACTGAATCTAAACTATTTAAATTATGCTTTATATATTGTAGGATCTGACAAGAATAGAACATTTTTCTAACTTTTTAACTATATTACATTTGGCAAGTTACCTTCTATCAAGCATCAAAAAGATTACAGGTTTTCTTTTTTTTTTTTTTTAAGATTTTATTTATTTGACAGAGAGAGATCACAAGTAGGCCGAAGAGGCAGAGAGAGGGGGGGAAGCAGGCTCCCCGCTGAGCAGAGAGCCCAATGCAGGGCTCGATTCTCGGACCCTGAGACCATGACCCGAGCCGAAGGCAGAGGCTTAACCCACTGCGCCACCCAGGTGCCCCAAGATTACAGGTTTTCAAGTAATTTACAACATTTTCTTTTTAGGTTTTCACCAGGAAATATTGAAATATACAATAAATACACTCCAATAAAATTTTTTTTTGAGAATTTATTTATTTGACAGAGAGAGATCACAAGTAGGCAAAGTGGCAGGCAGAGAGAGAGGGGAGGAAGCAGGTTCCCCATTGGGCAGAGAGCCCGATGCGGGACTCGATGCCAGGACCCTGAGATCATGACCTGAGCCGAAGGCAGAGGCTTAATCCACCGAGCCACCCAGGCGCCCCCCAATAAAAATTTTTAAAAGAAGAAACATACAATAGAAACATACTAAGTAGTATGAATCTAAAGTCAAAAGGAGAGCCATAAATGTGTTATGCACTACATATTAGAGAGCATGAGTTAATCCAGAAACCGAATGGACTGACAAAGTATGCAGAATTGCCTAGAGCATGGTACTGAACCTTGGTCAAAGCTGCGAGATATACTAACCAGGGAAAAAAGGTGTTTTGCAAATAGGGGTCCATGAGCTGTTTCAAGGCAAGACAGACTAACCTGTCAAAGTTGTTTGGTAATAATCACTGGATTTATTTCTTCTACCTCGATTTTGTGGAGTCCAGGGGTTTTCAATGATTTCAATGAAAAATCCCTACCACACACAGACTTTGGACTTCTTGGTACCAAGATGCTCCATGCACACGCCCGCCCGTGGTGGTTTAGCATCTGGAGACCAGCAAGTCCTGCGAGGCCCAGAAGAGGGATGATAAAGAAGACTGTATCTTGAGTTCACCATGCCCACCCTGTTAATGCTTATCTTTCCCCTGCTGTGGCTGTGTTGCATTATTTCTGACTATGAACTACTTAAGGAGTCTTTTCCTAATCAATTATGTTAAGTGATTACATGATATTAGCACAGTACTTATCCTGAATGCTTAGTTTTTAAATGACATCAGTAAAATGAAGGTAATAGTCATTGTTTACTGACACTTTGAGTCAGGCCTAGACTTCCAGTCCCCCAGGACCCCTCACCTGGTTTGAGCTGAACTACTTCTTAACTCATAAAAATGATGCAGAGTTGAAAAACATATAAGCCTTAAAAATTATCACATTAAAATACCTGTAATTTCTCCAGTGTGTTAAAAAATATCATAGTAATGGAGTCTTTTGTTAGTAGTATTAGTTCATAAACTCAGGTATTATAATTTAAAGTTTCATAAAATAAAGCAGACTGAGGTCAGATGGGAAATGATTCTCTGTAAGGGCAGACGAAGTCACAAAATTCACTGTGTGATTTTGATGCATATCCAAATCCTGGTACGAATTTCATATACATTTCCAGGAAATAAGTAAAAATCTTGACCTCTAATACTTCAGAAATAATCACCAACCAAATCTCAGTTCCATTTTTCTCATCACTTCTAGCTTCCTATCTTTCTCCCACTTGTATCTTTAGAGCCATGGCTTCCACACATTCCTCCCAGATATGTGCTTAGTAGTTAGGAAAAATACCAAACTAAATTTACTAATTTCTCAGATATCCCTTCTTGAAAATAAATTTCCGCAACCACTAAATGTGATAGCTAAGTCACCAATCAATAAGAAATATAAAACCATGCATATTTTAAATTCTCAGGTTTAAAAAGTTTATTAAAAACACAGGTCTAGTTTTTGTATCCTGTTATTGTATTAATGCTTTATGAAGAACTACCACCTAAATTATATTCACAGAACTCCAATATTACTTTTGATAAGTTAAAATTGAGAAAAGACTTACTCCTTATATTCCATTAACTAAGACCCTGGGCTAAACAATTTGGGGGTATAAGGAGGGGTAAAGGTCCCATTTTAATATCAAGATTTGTGCAAAGTGAATGAGGAAATAAATGTATGCCTTTAAAAGATGAAAGGAATGGGGCGCCTGGGTGGCTCAGTGGGTTAAAGCCTCTGCCTTCGGCTCAGGTCATGATCCCAGGGTCCTGGGATCGAGCCCCACATCGGGCTCTCTGCTCAGCAGGGAGCCTGCTTCCCTTCCTCTCTCTGCCTGCCTCTCTGCCTGCCTGTGATCTCTGTCTGTTAAATAAATAAATAAAATCTTACCAAAAAAAAAAAAAAAAAAAAAAAAGATGAAAGGAATATTCTGTAACCTCAAGGTTAAAAAAGTAGTATGAATGATGAATGCTACCAGGAAGAGAGACCACTAGGGGATATGGAGGTCAAGGAGGATTTCTTGGAGGGTAAAGGAGTTGAAATATGTTCCTCAAGATAAGTAGGTTCTAAACAGAAGACCGTATCTTAAACAGAAGAAATGACAGAGAGAAAGGCACAATAATAAAACAATAACTCAAGTCACATTTGAAGGAATATGGCTACCCCAGTGTGACTGTACCAAAGCATGAATACAGGGAGAGGTACGTGATAAGACTGGGTGACAAAAGATTTTAATACCAGGATATAGAGCTTCGATGTTGTACAGAATGGGGGGCCACTGAAGGTGTCTGAAGAGGAGAGGCACGTGATGGATGTGGAATTATCGTTTCTACCCAAAGGTCCCAGATCTTCCAGGACTTGAGTTACACAGAATGAGTTCATTCCTTTTGCCACAAGAGCCCTTCCTAGATTTGAAAACTGCTATTATTTTCCTCCACTCGGAGGAAGTATACAAAGGACAGACTGAAAAAGGGAGAGACTAAAATCCGGAGATAGCTGAGATGCCATTTGTAATTTGTAGGAGGCTTGAAATAAAAAAGGATGGCTATGATTTCATGGAACTAAAAACTTCCTTGCAACTGAAAAATGTTCTTATAAAAAAAGAGAGAAAAAAGAAAAATATTCTTACAATTTGAATGCGTATCTTATTTATTTCACTTTAAAATTCATTTCAAATCTTAATGGGCAGCTTTACAACCAAAGTTCTCTACTGACAGAGGAAAGTGCTGTCTCAAGAAAGGACAGTAATCTGCAGAAAGACAGTCCTGTTTCCTGAGCGAGCCCACCCATGCAGCTCTAAGAGAGCCATCAGACGGTTCTTCCTGTGCTCTTTCCAATTATTTCACACACTTTTTTCAGGACTATGGGTGGTAGTCTTGAAGCATCAACACAGCACCCATAAAAGTCACTGATGCTGTATTCCTTAAACACTTCCTTCAGCATGAAAGGGTATTTTCCAACTGAAAATATCTAAATTCTAAAACTTAAACCCATGTTTGTGCAACATAAAACCCGCTGCAATAAAATCTCCACGTTACCCTCTTTACAGCAATATTGATTCATTGATATTTGGCCATGACACTCTGATGATAACACTAAAACATTTTGATAACTGCCCATACTAATGTCACCTATGTGTTCCTTTGTAGGATTGATGGGAAAATATTAAGACATAAGCAACACAATATTTAAAAATAAATACCCTATGACCAAGTAAAATGGATTTCAAACCTTGATCTTAGTTGGCTCAGGACTATTTTCTTATCTGTTTTCTTAGCTACAATTTTCAGAACCCCCAGGACAGATATATATTTCAAGGTTAAAAAGAACGTACCCTCTGTCCTATTAAGTTGGCAGAGTTACAATTTACCGAAGATTAGTCCTATAAAGTCTATAAAGAGATTTTTTTTTTTAAGATTTTATTTATTTATTTGACAGACAGAGATCACAAGCAGGCAAAGAGGCAGGCAGAGAGAGAGGAAGGGAAGCAGGCTCCCTGCTGAGCAGAGAGCCCGACGCGGGGCTCGATCCCAGGACCCTGGGATCACGACCTGGGCCAAAGGCAGAGGCTTTAACCCACTGAGCCACCCAGGCGCCCCTATAAAGAGATTTTTTAAATGCACGTATAAACCTCAAATAATTTAGCCAGTTTATCTAAAAACATGTAGCACTGGATATATGTATAATCATTTCAATTTCAATTTACTGTATTACTAGTTTTATTAAAAGGATTTAGAGTCTAAATTCATGTTTGTTGAGGACTTAAGTAGAAATTTTATGCAGTTAGGCATACTAACATAGCTCAGTGATTAACCATATTGAGTCATACTGTACATTTCATATCTTTGTGTCGTCCTAAAATACCATAATTTTTGGTCTTATGTTACACTTGCATAAACCGATTACAATAAAGAAGGAAACATTAAAAATTAAGGCAATTGTTAAGTATTTAGATAAAATCTTCATTATAATTACATAAAACGATAGGTGTAATCTAGAAAACTAAAATATAACAAAATGTTAAATAATAAAATTATATATATCTGAAGACACATATATTTACCTGACATTGCCCTTGGTGTTTCTGAGAACAGTTGCAGCAAAATTCTGTGTGACACCCACCAAGCTGATTCCATCTACTTCCACAATCTGGTCATTGACTTGTATTCTTTGGAAAGAGGAGAAAAATTAACCACAATTAACTTTTCTGATAGTACATTACCATTTTCAATACATGAGTTGACAAAATACTTGATTTTTATGATACTCTTACTGACCTGAAATTTGTCTTTTATCCACAAGCTCCCAATCTTAGTCAAATACTTAATGTTTTTAAAAGACTGTTTTGAAAAACAGATTGTTTCAAAAAGCTATACTAAATGGAGAGATTCAGGTTACCCAACATTCGTATTCCTATCACAACAAAATTGACAACTGCTAACGTATGACATACTTACATCCTTTCTTGTCCTTAATGAATTACATAAACCTATAAGATCCAGCTGAAATATGCTGTGGGCTTCCTCCCTAGTCCTTCTTCCCACCTCTCCTCTTCAGGAAAAAAACATCAGGAATTACAGGGAATCCTTCCTATTCAAGTTGTATGCTTAACACAGATAATGCTCATAACTGTATGTATGTGTATATGTGCGCACACATGTATATAAATGTATATGTTTATGTTTAAGAACATACATAGTACTAGTGTTCTTTAATGTTCTATCTTGTTTATTGTTCTTTAATGTTTAGTGTTCTTTATAAACATGTTTTATACATACCATTTTTAAAATATTTTATTTTATTTTATTTTTCAGTGTTCCAGGATTCACCGTTTATGCTCCACACCCAGTGCTCCATGCAATACGTGTCCTCCATAATACCCACCACCAGGCTCACCAAACACCCCCCTCCCCGCCCCTCCAAAACCCTCAGTTCAGTCTCTCATGGTTTGTCTCCCCCTCAAATTACCCCCAATTCACTTCTCCTCTCCAACTCCCAATGTCCTCCGTGTTATTCCTCATGCTCCACAAGTAAGTGAAACCATATGATAATTGACTCTCTCTGCTTGACTTATTTCACTCAGCATAATCTCCTCCAGTCCTGTCCATGTTGATACAAAAGTTGGGTATTCATCCTTTCTGATGGAGGCATAATACTCCATTGTATATATGGACCATATCTTCTTTATCCACTTGTCCATTGAAGGGCATCTTGGTTCTTTCCACAGTTGGGCGGCTGTGGCCATTGCTGCTATGAACATTGGGGTACAGATGGCCTTTCTTTTCACTACATCTGTACCTTTGGGGTAAATTCCCAGTAGTGCAAATGCAGGGTCATACGGTAGCTCTATTTTTAATTTCTTAAGGAATCTCCACTCTGTTTTCCAAAGTGGCTGCACCAGCTTGCATTCCCACCAACAGTGTAAGAGGGTTCCCCTTTCTCCACATCCTCTCCAACACTTGTTGTTTACTGTCTTGTTAATTTTGGCCATTCTAACTGGTGTAAGGTGGTATCTCAATGTGGTTTTGATTTGAATCTCCCTGATGGCTAATGATGATGAACATTTTTTCATGAGTCTGTTAGCCATTTGTATGTCTTCTTTGGAGAAGTGTCTGTTCATGTCTTCTGCCCATTTTTTTTGACGTGATTATCTGTTTTGTGGGGGTTGAGTTTGAGGAGTTCTTTATAGATCTTGGATATCAGCCCGTTGTCTGTGTTGTCATTTGCGAATATCTTCTCCCATTCCGTGGGTTGCCTCCTTGTTTTGTTGACCGTTTCCTTTGCTATGCAGAAGCTTTTGATCTTGATGAAGTCCTAAAAGTTCATTTCCGCTTTTGTTTCCTTTGCCTTTGGAGACATGTCTTGAAAGAAGTTGTTGTGGCCGATGTCAAAGAGGTTACTGCCTATGTTCTCCTCTAGGATTTTGATAGATTCCTGCCTCACGTTAGGTCTCTTATCCATTTCGAGTTTATCTTGGTGTATGGTGTAAGAGAATGGTCGAGTTTCATTCTTCTATACATAGCTGCCAATTTTCCCCACACCATTTATTAAAGAGACTGTCTTTTTTCCACTGTATATTTTTTC